GTTAGGGTTAGGTCCTTTTATTGGTAGTCCGTTTAAATCCGGGCTTTTTAGGCCCGGACCGTTTAACCCGAAGCCCGCTAGGGCTAGCCCGTAACCGCTAGGGCTAGCCCGTTTAACATCTCTACTCTTACGTCATTAGATCGTCACAACGACCTCTTGACCCATCCGTCGTAGGCGCTTACCAAGTTGAAACCATGACCTTCACTTGCACGACATCAAGGTTGTATCGAGTCCTCACCCGTCTAAGCTCCACGAGGAGCTGGACTCTTCATTCCTCCATTCAACTTGTCTCGTACTCTTGAGCTCCCTTACGAGGTCGAGCCTTGAATCGAACCAGAGTTCCCTTAAACTTGTCACACCCAAGCTAACCATTCAGTCCGGTTCACTGAAGATATTATAGGTATTATATCATCTAGCCGACATTTCCGAACGAGTTGTCGAGACTTGTACCAAAAACCGTAACTATTATTGTTTGAACATGGCACATTTTTAATTAAACGCGCTCTCAGCAAACCTCGAGGGATGCAAAATGTCAGAATACTCATGAACATGCTTGGATCCTGGGCCGTCGATTATTCGACAGATCGACAATCCACGTGCAGCCATCTTATCACCTTCTAGCCCACCATTTTTAGCCCTTGATCTCTTGTTGAACCAACGGTCACGATGACTTGACTAGCCAAAGGACATTTGACCCTCTACTTATAAAATCGGATTATTCACACTTTAAACACTTTCCAACCATTTTCAAAGTCTAAGCTCTTATGAGCAAAGCAACTCCAGCGATCCAACCTCAAATCTCCAATCGACTCATCCGGCAAACTCTCCAATTCCTCCGGTGACCGGCATGGCAGGAAGACCGCCAATGTCAGCTTGCAGTCATAGATTCTTAGGCCAATGCAAGCTTCCTAATCTTCTGTGTAGGATAGGTGTAGGCCTAATAAAAATGAATAATGCGGCCTAGACGAAAAATGGATCGAGCCACAAAAAATTATATACAACGGCTGCACATATCAAACGATTGTACATACGGTTTCCATGATTTTCAAAAGAAAACGGATTCACTTAAGTCCATGACAAAATTCCATTGGAGAAAAGTAAAAGCATACTTCAGTTCTATTTCGGAACGGCTTTTAACTAGAACACAAAGATATCCCCTAAATTTGAAACTCGAAGTCAGAGAGACCCAGACTTGGAGGAAGATCCTAATTTTATATTCAAATTCAGATGTTACCAAATCAAACTGGATTCAAAAATGGGCTCAACTTCTACCACTTGTTGTTCCAAGTATTTGTATACTTGATGACAGTTTAATTTCAATGAAATTAATGGAAAACTCTGCATAAATCATCCATAAGTTCTGAAAAACAGGCACAGAGAAACTGAAAATAACGATCTTTGCACTGAATTCAAACTCATTGAGAATAGAAACAACTCATAACAGAAGCTAAAGAGCACTACACTCGAAGAACACACCAACCCAAACTACATAAACACTACTAAAGGCAACATCCTCATACTTCTTAATTTCAACTATCCACAAGAACACTAGAATTCTAGGCCTTCTTTGGGGACTTAGCAGCCTTGGATGGTGATTTAGGGGTTTTCTCGGCTGCCTTGTCAGCTTTCTTGGGCAGAAGAACCGGGTTAATGTTCGGTATAACTCCGCCATGAGCAATCGTAACGCCAGAGAGAAGCTTCCCCAGCTCCTCATCATTTCTAACAGCCAGCAGCACATGCCTTGGGATGATCCTGCTCTTCTTGTTGTCTCTTGCTGCATTCCCAGCCAATTCCAGAACCTGAGCACAATTTTCAGAGGGAATTATAAGATTTCATCTGAGCTTGCTTCACCTTAAACAACAGAAATCCAGCAAAACCCAAATCCACAAAGAGATCTTAGCTACAGGCCCAAGCACAAACATTTTCACAACTCCAAACCACAGCTCATAATAATTCAATATAATCATGTAAATGCACACAGAGAAAACAGTTAGACAACTCATAAACCAGAAGAAAACCACAAAAAATAAAACAATCACAGCACCTCAGCGGCAAGGTACTCGAGGACAGCGGCCATGTAAACCGGCGCGCCGGTGCCCACCCGCTGCGAGTAGCGCCCCTTCTTCAGGTACCGCCCGATCCTGCCAACGGGAAACTGGAGGCCGGCTTTCACGGACCGGGTAACCGGTATCTTCTTCGGGCCGCCGCCCTTCCTCCCGCCGGCTCCCTTCTTCACTTTTCCTCCTCCGGTTTCCATTTTCTTCTGCTATGCAAAGCTTTCACTGCAACTGAGCAAAGATATTTAGGGGTGGATCAAAAGTTGAGATTTTCGAACTGAATCAATGGTTACTGCGTTTGATGGCGAGGCTGTTGGAGGTTTAAATACTCGCAGAGTTGACAACATGATGGGGTGGAAAATGGGGAAGAGGATGAAATTCGGAGCGTTGGATTTGAAGTTATCGACGGTGAGAAAGGGGTTGGGACTCTATCCGCGTCGTTTGTAATTAGGCCAATCAGAATTTGCCACGTGGCAGTTGTAGATTTATGTAGCATTTTGTGCTAGTGTTGTGGTGGAATTGAAGTAGTTCGGTGGAATGTGGATATGTGATATGTAATCATTATTGTATATATTAATTAATAAAATATAGTACTATTTATTTTATTTCATTTATATTAGTTACTATAATTTTTAATTAAAATTTAATAAAAATAACACGTATTTATTTATTAAATATACAAAATTACAAATACAAATATTACATGTAAGTCATATTTATGGATATTATATTTAGAATTATAAGTGATATATTATGCATCATATATTACAAATATCTTCATTACAAAACAAAATAAAAAATATAATTATAAAGGATTTTTTGTCTAAGGCTTAAAAGATTGGTAAACTATCAATTGAAGACCTTAAAGATTTTTTTTTTTTTTTGAGTTTTATTAATACAAGATCCGAAAGATGGATAAACTATCAATGAGGGGTCTGAAAAAAAAAATTCTCAGTTCGAGACTTAAATGTTATAAAACTATCAAATTAAAAACCCGAAATATGGGTAAATTATCAATGGAGGCCTAAAAGATTTTTTTTTTTCTCAATTTGGGACTTAAATGTTATAAAACTATCAAATTAAGTCTAGAATTAACAAAACTCATAACACCAATAATTTTAGAGTTCAAAAAATATAATATATGGTGTTTAAATTTAGAGTTTTTAAAAAAAATATGTAATATTTAATTATTACATTTTATGTTCATATTCATTCACATTTTTAAACCATCAATGCATATGAATGAAATTTCAATAAGCATAATAGTCAGTTTAAATATAAAAATCATATTAATTATTTACTTAATATAAATATTTGCTTTATTCTTTTTAACAACAAACACATATATTTATGAGGACAATGATATTATAAACTTTCAAGAGTACGATTGGTTATAAATTATGTAAAAATGTTTGAATGAAAAAGTGAGTTAAAGAGTTAAAAATTTGATGTAATAATACAAATTTTTTAAAAATGTGAATGAATATGAAAATAAAATGTAATAATTAAATATTATATTTATTTTTTAAAACTCTAAATTTAAACACCAATCTTTTTTTTAAACTCTAAAGTTAATGGTGTTATGAGTTTTCTTAATACTAGACTTAATTTGATAGTTTTATAACATTTAAGTCCCGAATTGAGAAAAAAAAAAAATTCAGGCCCCGCATTGCTAGTTTATCCATCTTTCGGGTCTTTAATTTGATAGTGTTATAACATTTAAGTACCATATTGAGATAAAAAATCTTTCAGGCTCCACATTGATAGTTTACCCATCTTTCGGGCCTTGTATTGATAAAACTTTTTTTTTTCTCGATTCGAGGCTCGGATCATATGAAACTATCAATACGAGACTTAAAAATTAACAACACCTTTTTCTCGAGTTATTTTTTTTGGTGTCTCAAATTATCTCTCCAAATTACATTGTAAGTGTGATTTCTTTTTTCCATTTCCAAAATCCTCTTTCCAAATTATTGTACACATGATAAATTTTACCTTGAAACCACTCTCCAAATTACTATGAAATTGAGGAATTTTTGCTACGATGGAAATTATGAAATATGGAGTCAGATATACCAAATTCTCTCCCAAAGTTTTTATCTTACAGGACAAATCTTTTCGGCTCAACATCAAGGAATCGTTTCTCTTTTCCTACCCCATAATATGAGTAGTTGATAAATAATATTGAGCGAGATTGATTCAGTTCGAATGAAGATATGTCCTCAAATTTGATCAACAAGTGATGCAGAATAATATTATTATTATTATTATTATTATTATTATTATTATTATTATTATTATTATTATTATTATTATTATTGTTATTATTATTATTAGCATTTAATATTTATTTATATTTATATTTAATGACTTGGTGGACAAGATAGATTTTAGGGTTAGGATGTCTATTTAAAGACCTCTCTTATTTGTTATTCAGCAGTTGATTTTGAGAATGAAAATTGATCGTGTTTTCTTTTGGGAGAGTATCCCGTGTTCTGGAGAGAGTATCTCCTTTTATCCTTGTATCTTCCCAGTCGTTCAGTTCTATCTACATCAGTTGGTATCAGCAGTCAGTACGATTCGCGATGTCGCCGGGACGAGAAGATGCCGTAAACGAACAACGTGAGGCCACCTTCAACGATCGGTTTCAACATATTGATTACCGATTTGAACAGTTGGACGTGCGTTTCACAAATTTGTTTGCCGATCTTTCGACGGGGATCGAGGATGTGTGTTTGACGCCGACCAACTTAGTTGTTACGGAATGGCAGACGGACCGTGATGGAGGCCGTGACTATCGAGGGGGATACAGAGGCGGTCGTGAGGGAAGCAACCATGTCGGGGCGCCCCGGCAG